AATTTATTTTGAATTGCACAGATATCAAAAGGGTCAAAAATTATTAAATTAAACTATGATTTATTAAACAATAACACTTAGGAGCATAAGAAAAAGAAAAAAACCTATTCACAGACCTACCAAATATATATACAAAATTTCATTAAAATCGGTTAAGACGTTTTGGAGGAGTATGGTAACAACCACAGTGACTAACTCCATGTTGATCCATTTTTTTGGTATTGGCCGAGGGCCCCATTTCAACGTTTCATTATGTCATATGGACAATTTTATAAGATAAAACTTGCTGTAGCTTTTTTAATTCGAAAAAACATTCCGGAATTCAAAAAATCAATCATAACAATTTTTTTAAAAAAAAAAATAAAAAATATTTAAAAAAAAGGGTTTTTCCAATTTTTTTTTCGTAAAAACCTTTTTCTAGCAATTGAGAACAACTAAAAAAAAATTTGAGCCAGATCGGCCTAGCCGTTCTCAATTGATGAAATGTTACAGATTTTTAACTCCATTTTTATATATATATAGATGTAATTGAAAAAACAACTATTAAGTATCATACTACGAAGTTTTATGCGATTGTATTAGTAAGTCTCAAGTAAAACCAGACATAATGACATGTAATACGATAAAGACAAAAATGTTTGTCGAAAAAAATGAATCCATTGGGAAAGAATGTACTTATACACTGAAGAAAAACGATGCGTCCGTTGTCAAACCAAAGATGTCTGTGTTGGATAAAAACTACGACAAACCGTTACCATACCAGACCACCACGAATCTATCGAGAGGCCAAAGGTCAAAGATACTTCAGTATGAATCAATAATTAACGATAACAAACCTAAAAATATAGGATAAAACAATACTACCACTGGCGTTATAGCAAATGAGCGATCTGATAACATTCTTAAAACATCAAAGAATTTTCGGGTATCCACAATATGTTCCAATATGGAGCACGTCTCGTTGATAGAATATACTGCTAAAAATGAGATCAATTCCAATGCAAATTATAGAAATTTAAATTCGAAGACACGGAGATTATGAAAAAATCGAATTAAATATACTAAGTTATACGATCTAACAGATTCTAGAAAGGTCCAATGTTTACGCGTGTTGTAAATCAAGATCATCCAATGTGTAAGAAAAACAGGTAAGTTCACGGGGAGAAATAGTTAACGGACAAGTGCTTGTTAATAGTTTTTGTACGGTAATAAAGAAAAAAATAGTGGATAAATCGTCGATAGAGCCAATTGTCCCTGTCGTTACTACAATGAGTGAGTTATTGATTGCGACAAAATACGAATCGTACTAATAAAATAACCAATAAAACTATAAATATTATTCCAATTTTAGAAAAGGCGGGTAATTTTTTACAAAAAAAGTCGGTTCTCTTCGATGCTAAGGCAAAGCAATCTAAAAATATAACTTCTAAGAAATCTAAGAATCAACGAAAAAAACTGTCAAAAGTATGTTCACGTGTCATTATTTCGAACGAATCTCTTAATGTAAGAAGTGCTACGAGTGAAATCAAGACAAATTTCTGTGATTTACCTAGGATTTTTAATAATAAAACAAAGAACACAGGTAATTGTTGAATTAAGAATACAAAATTGTACGATCAAAGAAAGATTCCTTAAAAATCCAATATTTGCACGTGTTGTACACCGATATCACCTAATTTATAATGCAATAATGAATGAAATTATAATAAAAATAATAATACTGTGATTGAGAAAATATAACATTTAAATGCGCAGTTAAATATAATTTCAATGCGTAATGTTGCACCAGCATGACAATTTTTAAATAGATGAATACTAAAGCGTTATTAACAATTTTATATTAGACGATACTGTTTCTCTAAACTTGGAATTCTGTTTTACAATATCAGGCTCGATTATTTTTAATAATAAAAATAAATTTGTTTTGGACATTTGCGTAAGATTTCCAAACAGAAAGTCTTTGTTCAACTGCAAATCTTTAAAAATACTAATAATTAATAAGTTTCGTGTTTTAAAATAATTTTTTTATTCCATTGGAACGTTTTTATCACGTATTTTTCATATTCGCGATTATATAGTAGGTATGCAGCAGATATACCGAGAATTAGTAAATTAGAATCTGACATATTTTTAATTTTAACTATGATTAAGGTGACCAAATATATTTTCCAATCATAATGGAACAATAAAAAAGAATTATCATTATTTCGATTATAAATAATAAACATTTTTTTTTTATTTAATAATTATTCACAAAATGAAATACTATTATGGTTTCAAGGAATAAACAAATTTAATTAATTAATTAATTACACTTATTAATAAGTAATTCGTTTTTTACTATAACAACTTTTGCTGTTGTATAAGAAAAAGCGTCTACGTAAAGAAAACAGTTGTCGATCACTGTAATACTTAAATAATGTACCGTGGAAAATAATTTGGTAATTTTGTGTTAGCACTGATCCGTGTCGCAGGAAGATTCGGTATGGCCTTGGTAAATTTTGTATTTTTATTAATTTTATTAATTTTCAAAAGTATAACTTAAAAAGTATAGACAATCCTGATTTACGCTTTGAAGCCAATCAATATGTTTATAAATTATTATTATATAATCATTTAATTATATTACCATGATTTATAATTCTATATAATTATTGGAATCGCAATGAATAAACATGCAATTTTTTGAATACATCAAAAACACTACATTTAATCTATTGATTGGTTTTCCAGAATCGATTACCGTTTTTTTTTTTATTATTCGCGTTACTAACATTGATTAATTTTCACTAATTCCATAACACTTTCGTCGTCCGATGAAGATGACATAAATAAGATACTGGCGCTAGTATAACAAGTTACTAGTTATGCATAGGTGTGTACAATAGTCATGGTTCTACTTAAACATTTCTGGCCCTATTACTGACAATTGGTCCGTTTTAAACGTAATAATAAGATCATTTTTAAGTAGTAGAAAATGTTTTTATGGTTCACCGTAGAAGCAAATAAATATGTAATTAAGAATAATATAGATACTAGGTATTCACTGTAATATATAACGTATATGGCAACCTAAAATCGTCTCTTTATATTTATAGTCAATAAATGTATTTTCATTTTTGCAAATTTCGACCTTATCATTTTGTGGTCTACTATTTTGTGTTAGCCCGTTGTGCTAATAATAATTTACATTATGATTAAATAAAACATTTATTTAATTGATTAATAAGTAATACCAAAGAAGTCTCCGCGAGACCTGTTAAGACTTTAAAAAAAGTTATAAAAAAATAATAAGTGTAAAAGATTGTGCCTACTTATTGTTTTATGTTCAAAATTCAAGGATAACTTATCACTGGTAAGGCTTGTAGTGTGGTGTCTGAACCTAAAAGTTGTTGATACGGCTATTCAATTATAATACTAATGTTAGTACATTTCAAGGAATTACATATCAAAGAGAAAAGTTTAAACATTAAACTATTCGCGAGGAAGAATATTTCAACTATCTTACATAAAATGTTTTTATTTTATTAGTTGTATGAATAAATGATTTATAAAAAAATTATATTAGTGGAAATGGAAATAGAGAAGTTTTAATTTATATAAAATTATTTACAAATAATAATAATTGATTATTCATGTCTAATGGTTACAATATATTGTATTCTATTGGCTGCTTTCAAAAAAGCGCTGACATTCATAACTTTCAAATTATTCGAAAATTCAGAATCTAAAACAATAAAATAGTTCAAATTTCTTTCAAATGTATATCCCACTTATTTATTATTTATTAAGGTTTATTTTTGACCTTGTACATTTTAATTATAATTTTAAAAAAAAAATTTACTTGATGGGGCTTAATTTTTAATTGAAGAAGTTGTCAAGCAAATAATAATATAAAATAAGATAATAATTTGACCAAGATGTATAACGTAAATTGAAAATTACACATAAAATATTTACATTCATTAAAAAATTATGAAATAGTAAGAGATTTAAGAAGAAAATAAATATATAAATTAGTTTTATTAATGTCATTCCATTTTTTTTTTAAATTCAAGTTTATTATACCATCATTGTTTTCAATTAGTTATATGTAATAGTATTATAACATTTTTTTTCTCTTATGCGCAAGTATTTTATGTGTTGAAAACTTATCTTCTAGTATAATTTTGAATAACCGTTATGTAATATGTTATTTCGATTTCTACTAAGAGGAGGAAAATGAATAGGAAACCTATACCTATATAAAGATTATAAAGATCTTAAAAAGAAGAGTCATGTGATATTTTTATAAAAATGTAGTCATTGTTCCAGTTATTATCCTTTAAAATGGTACAACGTTTCTATGACTTCACATCAGTTGGATAATGTGTTATATTTTATTGCCCAAGTAATTCGATAGTGAAAGTATGCTAACGTATAAATTGACATTTAGTCTTTTGTAAGATAAAGAGTCTCTTAATGTCTGTTTTGAACACTATTGATCGATGAAAATAAAACTCCAATTATTTTTACTTCTGATATATCTATTTTATTTATATCTAATAAGAATGATAAATAATGTATAATTATAACAGTTGATTAATAATAAAATGTTCTAGTAGACAGGATCAGACTGGAAAATAAATTGCATTGGAAAACGTATTTAAGTTACACTATTCGTGAATTGTTATTAAAACCAAATACGATTTATTAACAATATTATTAATATTATCATTAGTTTGTTCATAATTCAACGGTGTATATAGTAAAAGTGAAATTATAGTGTGACTTTGAAAGTGAATTAATAAAAATGCCCGATAGGTATATAAAAAATATTTATATCATAGTTACCCAACTTTTAATATATTTTTACACACTTTTGCTTTTAAGTATATTGGTATTCCGTAATTTGGTTGTTATCTCTTAATACTTTACATTATTTTGTTATACGCTGTTTGCTTAGAGGGATGAAACATACGATATTGTGCTATCGCGGCTATTTGAAAACTCCAACACCGTAATTTAGTACTTTTATTTAATGTTTTGTTATACATCCAGTCCGGCCCTATATAGAGACGCATAAAATATTTCTATAAGTATTCTATATATATATATAGATATAACTAGAGAGAGAGAGAGAGAGAGAGAGAGAATAAATAACAATTTAACAATAATGGATAATGTTATCAAAGAATAAATGTCACAGTTGAAAATTGATGTTTGCTAAAATATATGTCGAAAAACACAATACATATTATATGATAAAATATAGTGATGTATCTACGAACATTGTTTTCTACGGTCTATGTACATAAATTATGATGGTAGTATATATAAAAAAAAGCGATTGAATTAGCGTTTCTTTAATAATTAGCCAATAAGACTAAAGTTTTAAACTGTAACCGTACGGGATTATACATAAATAATGATTATAATTTTTATAATTTTGAAAAAAAAAATTACTTCGATAGAAATTCAACAACATTTAAACGTAACAGTGAAAATATCTAACAACCTTAGTAAATATTAAAATTATAATAAATTTTATAATGTTTATATATTTTCGATATAACATCGTCGAGTATCGAGTCTTGTATTTATTATTATACTTATAGTTGTAATTCTAATGATATGCAAATGTCAAACAATTGATATGTGTCGAGTGAACTTAATATATGATATATAATGATATGTATGAATTACATTGATATGTCTAATTTAACAACAACTTAGTACCTACTTAAAGTAAATATCTGATCATAATAAAAGTATAACTATAAATCAATAAAATTTAGATTATCTTATAAGTCGTGACACATTGTAAATAATATAACAGTAACAATCATAATAGTTAATATTAATAAAAATAATATCAAACAAAATTCAATGAACAGTACATTATTGGTGTTTAAATATGATATAGTGAATATTATATTATGTTTAACATGAGTATTCGTTACATAAATAAACGGTCACCGTTTATAAAATCATTTTGAATTTAATATTATTAATAAATTATATCTAAAAAGTCCATTTAAAAAATAATATTTTGTAACTTTATTTTTTAATTATTCGTGAGTTCCTGTATTTAAATTTAGATCAAATTTATGGTGGTTTTTACGTAATAATTCAGTCGTATCTGCAAGAAATTCAATATGAATAGCAACACGATAATATATTTATGTAACGAAGTCAAAATAACTTTAATCGTAGAATATGAATAACGTTAAAAACATACATTAACAATTGTTGATTAATGAATAAATAAACCGAACTAATAACATTAACAGTAGTGCATTAAAATTTAGATTATACTTCAAGGTGACAATAATGAATAACGATCAATAACAATACGTGATGCAATAAACGCATCTAAAATATAAAGTGACAATTATAACCAAGTAGGTAACTATAAATTTCCAAGTTTTAAGAAATATAACAGTTTTTTTATCATTCGAAGATATGTTTACGGTACTATAATATTATATGAGATAAGACAATTTGTATTTATAAGGAACATGCACATATGATCAGCGTCATCTTAATTTTTTTTCATGTAAAGCATCTTCTGCATCGCCATCAGACTCTGTTCAAGGGCCGCCGTGAACGCATTGTTGTTCGTGATCTTGGACGATTTGAACGAAGATATGCAGAATACTAATAAATTGCTCTGGGGGTTGTAGGAAACACCGTAGCCGTCGGGAACAACTGGTCCGTAGCCCATAAAGCTGTCCGTCGAAGTTAATAACTGCAACAGAGACACGCAAAAAGGTGATTAAAATCTGCATGTAAAAGTACAAGAATTATATTTATATCATTGTCAAATTTTTTAAGGTTTATTGTTGAGAATAAATGAAACTAATAAGTATTTATTATAAAATTGAAAACACCAGAACTGCAATTTACAAAATTAGTCTACCTATATTAAGTTGATCATATGTAAGTACTTATTCATGATACAAATACTGTAATATTGGCTTCGAATCCAACCAAATATTTGAAAAATCAACTCTCCATTTTAAAATATTTATTGTATTTTTGAGAAAATATTATTAACAATAGGTTTTGGGGTTTTTTGAGTTCTATAGAAGTGCATATTTAAGTAGTTTTTAGTCTACAGAATCCAATTATTCAGAGTATATATTTTTAGTGTTTTAATTATTATTATACCTAAATTACACACGTTAGCGGGTTTCTACAGAATACTATTTCATATTGCTGTATCATTGTTATAGATATAAAAATGTACAGTAAAAATACGATTTATTAATGTTCACTATTATACTTTTACTAGCTGATGGCAAATATAAATCAGACGTGCAATCATCTCAGAATGGATATAAAGTCATCGTATTATATATATATGTGTGTGTGTGTGTGTGTGTGTGTGTGTAAAAAATGTTTTGTTATTCTTAAGATTGTACCATAACATTTTGTCAAAAAGACACGGTTGTTATGAATTATTCACGATACAAAAATAATCATATGGAATATATTATTGTACAATTCAAGATGTGACTACCTGTTTCTTTTTTTAAATTACATATTTTACAATTATTTCTAAGGACTGCACAAGACAAATTAAGCAACTTGATTATGTTATGTAACTACCACTATATTTTTATTATTTTTTAAATTAAGTATTTCGGTAATTGATTTTCCATAGTACAAATAAATAATCGTATAAGTAATTATACCACTAAATAGTTAACAATACTTTTAAACAATTTGTATAATTATTTCGTTGTTTCAAATGTACATAAAATACACTATAAACACGAATAAAAATGTATATTTTGATAGTAACAATAGATTTTCCCATTAGGTTTAAGTGATAATGTAACGTATTAAAATGTAAGCTTTGCAAATTATTAATAACATTATTATTATTCTACTCGAAATTTCGTGTGGTGCATTCTATTTAATTAGTTATCACTCTGGTGTTTAGAGTTAATAAATGGTTATCATATACCGTATTACCGTATATCTATTTATTTTAATAATTTGCCTAGGTCATTAAAATGAGTTAGAAAAATTTTAAATAATTTACTTGACTCGTTGATAGGCTAAAATGATTAGCAAGTCTGAATGAATCATCTTCGAATATTGCGCAAGGTATAGCATTTTCTCTTGCTGCTTGCCTCAATCCCAATAAGTGTGCGTCTATGCCCATTCCAAGAATATTATCAATCATGATGTCAGTCTGTTTTTTTACCGCTGTTTCAAAAAGTTGAATTTTCTCGTTCTGGTAACATCATAAAATACCAAATAAATGTTGTTTCCAATAAAACATAATACACATGCATGTTTTATACATCTTACAACATTAAATCTAAAGGCCATTTTAATATATCATAAAGCATTGTCAGTTTACGTACGTAGATCATGTGGGAGTTCAAATTTCAAAAATAAAATGCATTCTCAGAAGCATTTCAGCTGTGCTGAATGTAAAATTGTTATGTTCGGAGTTAGGTGTATTAAACCGCAGTATTATTTTATTATAATATATCATAGTATTAGCGAGAATAAACATAATCAATTTGTAGCTTTTGAGATTATTCCCTTTGTAAATAACCGTTCGCTTTCAAATACATTTTGAAAAGAAAAATATTTTTTTTTTTTTAACTTAATTTTTTATTTAGCAATCTGTTACAAATTAGAACAATAAGTTTATTTGATATAATAATAAAACAAAACAGGAATGACGGAGTGAAAAGAAAAATATAATAAACATTTATTACAGGATTGTTTCCAACGCCAAGCTTATTATAAAATTAGTGAGTATATGAAATTGATCTTTACCAACCTACTCCAATAACTCTTAGGACATTGGGCTTTATAAATTTCAGTAACTAAAGTTATTTTGCAAGTCGGTTAATTTTACAAAGGCATCAAAGAATCATAATTAGTAGGATGAATTTACAAATCTGAATGTGACATTTTATTTTATATACTTTAAATTTTGAGTGAAACAAAAAAATAAGTGGTTTTACCACGATGTCATTTTTAGTTTTTGTGTTTATGTATAAGATCTCGACTACAACTTTTCCGATTATCACTATTATAAGACATTTTCGATGTGAAGTGTTTTTTAGTTGGTACTTTAAGTGAAGTAATTTTAGGAATTTTCTAACAGTTTTCTGGCGAAAAACTAATAAATAGTTATAAAAATATTACAACATTTATGGCACATCGTATTTCATTTAAATCGAATTTTCGTTTTTATTGTTACTCAAAAATAGTTATCGTAGAGACTTGAATTGATTACTGAATATTTATATCATAGTTTTCTAAAGTTTTCAAAAGATTTTTATTTTAGCTATATACAGTAGAACCTCGATTATCCGGGATAATGGTGGGGAAAGATAACACGGATAAATGAAAAACACGGTCAATCGAGACTTTTTATTAAGTTAATTATGAAAAAATATATAATTTTTGTATGCATATTAAGTGTGTATCTCAATGACTATTTTTGAAACGACTATAGTAAATGCTAAAAACATACTAAATAGTATCTTATAATACTCCATTATTTCATTATGGAACAAATTTCACAGAATTGAAAATTTCTCATATGTATTAGTTATAACTAGAGCTAGGATAGTATAGGATTTTGCATTTTTTTTTTAGGATTTACAGGACATAGCTTTTCAAGCACAAAATATGATTTGGTCATACACGAGTCCAAATATATAGTTTTTATTTTGCTTTTTTTTTGCATTTTTTGCACTTTTATGGATTTAGGGTCATTTTGTAGCATTTTTAGGTCATTTTTTCAATTTTACGGGCATTTTTATACTTTTTTGAAATCTTGGTAATATTTTTATACATTTTCATTTACACTAGATGTTCTCGATAAAAGTTTTGAATTTGTAACAGAAATAATTATATAAATATTTCAATTATAGAGATAGTGTGTTAGTACTCGTTATCGATAATAAAACCACTTATATATTACAACAATAAACTTTGATACCACGAGTTATCTTAATCGTAAAATTAGATGACAGTGGTGTAGAGTGTACCTACGTATGGTTTTGTTTAATATCTATTTAGTTAGTGTCTTCACTTTCGGGATTGCGTATAGTGCTTATACCGAAATATGCCGAAACAAAAATCATCGAAATCGAGTCGTATGCGGCTTTATGTTTCGGAATTTGGCGCCGACGTCTTTTCTACCGATGGTTTGGTGTTATATTGTAAATTCTGTGAAGTTAAAGTTGCAGCAGATAAAAAATATACAATTCAGCAACATATTACACGCGATAAACATTTACGTGGTATTCAAAAACGAAACGAGCAAACGACTTCTTTAACACAACCAATGTATTCTGAGTACGTAAATTCTAATTTTAATCTAGATTTGTGCAGGGCATTTTTAAGTGCAAATATACCGTTACATAAATTATCTCATCCGATTTTACGAAATTTTCTTGAAAACTATATAAAAAAAAAACAATTCCGGACTCGTCTACATTAAGAAAAAATTAGGTAAATAAATGTTACGAAGAAACTATGAATAAAATAAGAACATATGCCTCGGGGAAAAAAATTTGGATTTCAATAAATAAAACTTCAGATTCAGCTGGTCGATATGTTGCTTATGCAATAATTGGAACGTTGGAAATTAATCATCCAGGTAAAACTTTTCTTTTAAATTCCGAATGCCTGGAAAAAGCTAATCATGGAACAATTGCTAGATTTTTCGATAAATCTCTTTTACTTTTATGGCCTGATGGAGTGAAACGTGAAAACGTACTTTTATTTGTAACTGATGCACCTCCATACATGGTGAAAGTAGCCACATCTTTAAAGCTGTTGTATGCAAATATGGAACATGTTACGTATTTGGCTCATGCTCTGCATAGAGTATCGGAAGAAATTAGAAAATATTTCCCTTTAGTAGACGAATTCATATCAAATATGAAGAAGGTATTTTTAAAAGCTCCATCTCGTACTCTTATTTTTAAAACTTTTGCACCCGATATACCTTTACCACCTAACCCTGTGATAACTAGGTGGGGAACATGGATAAACGCATCTCTATATTACTGTGAACACTTGAGTTCAATCAAAAATGTTTTGAAAGAATTGAGTAAAGAAGAAGCCACTGCCATAGCTAAAGTCCAAGATTTGATCGACAATCAAACTCTAAAATGTAATTTAATTTACATAAAAACTAATTTTAGCTCATTGCCCGAGTCTATTAGCCGTTTAGAAACTTTGGATTTGCCACTAAAAGACTATAAAAATAGTGGTCGATTTACAACAGAAAATTCAACAATTTAAAAATGAAACTGGTATAGCTATACAAAACAAATTAAAAATGGTTTTGGAGAAAAATACTGGATTTGAAACGTTAAGTAAAATATCAAAAATAATTGAAGGAACTGAATTAGACACGGCTCATTTCCTTGATGAGTTCAATATCGACGATATCACGTTTATGAAATTTGTTCCGATTACATCTGTGGACGTGGAAAGGAGTTTTTCAACTTACAAGACATTGCTAGCAGATAATCGGCGGTCATTTGTATTTGAAAACTTGAAGGAGCTACTGATTGTCCAATGCAACAATACAATTTAAACGTAATTTTTAGAATAAAAAAAATATACGTATATATTTTTTATTTTATAGTATTTTTGTTGTTTATTTCAGAAAATTTCAAGCTGGTCATTGCATGATAAGTCCAAAATTCAAACTTGAGTTTTTTTTATGCTATTTTTTTATAATATTATAATTTAAATAATTTTCTACCGAAATATTAATTAATAAATAATAATTAATAATTATAAATTATAATTTATAATGCATTTTTATAATATTTTAAAATCATTTTTTATCTTTTGGGCATTTTTTAAGGTCATTTTTAGGTTATTTTAATGTCATTTTTTAGGTTTTTTTGGGTCATTAAAATCCTAGCCCTAGTTATAACGTTATTATATAAATATGATTGTCTCTAGCAACAACTAACAAAAAAAACGAACGACGACGACAAAATAATAATAATGTTAGACCGTGGTGCAACAATCGCGACCGACGAACGAACAACGACAAAGACAAAGAAGAGACGAAAAAAAGGGCGTTGGCCGCTGTACAAAAATAAATAGGAAAAAGACAGATTACAATTTTCAAACTAACATACGATAATACGAATAATAATAATAAAATAAGAATATAAACAGGCAATTAAAATTCACATATACAGTTGAGAAGCCGGAAGAGGGAAACAGATAAGGAGAGTGAGTCGCCATCGAGCTAATTATAATAATAATAATGATAATAATGATATCGTGCATATTGGCGCGAACATGTATGAATTTTCATTGTTTATGTTGTTATTTTACTACTGAAAGTTATGACTTCTAAAAAGTCTCAAAATGTCTTATTCAGTTCTCCTGGATTTTCCCGAAGTATAATTTCAATACAAGGTGTCTGTGTCGAAATATATTAACCCAAAATATGAAAACTCTATATAAGTTAAGCCGAACAAAGCTTTCAAGCGCTTAGCCCGTCATACATAATAATTTATACTCCGAATTTCATATTTACGATTTTATACTGTGTGGATTATAGTCTACTAAAAGCGACATGAATTAAAAGTTTGGATTATTTAAAACGAGTGTTTTTAATGTTCTTCGAAAAACCTATAACAATTTGATGAAAAATAGATACGTATATATTCCGTGTAATCGTATATTATGTTATTCGGTATTCTTTTGGTTTGCAATAAGTATTTATTATAAACGAGTTTTAGGTACGAAAAATAAATAACAATACGAATAAAAGTATGATTGATTTATATGAACTTCCGCGACTAGTGTAACAAAACATCAAACCGAGTTTATTGACTTTTAACACGTATATAGTATAATACGATTTAAAGAAAGATAACTCGCTAAAAATCATCACGAACAACAATGATTAAGACCCGTGACTAATGATATTATCGGTTGCTTGGTAACCGCTGTCACTTTAAACGACACCTGGTTACCCTAATCCGTGAATTTATTAATCACGCGAAAACGAACGTTTAAAGCAAAAACGTGCAAATCGTTATTTAATAAATTGGTCTAGAGAAGCGTATCGCGTAGCGGCTATTACTCGGAATGCGAAAAAAAACAGTTGGAAGCGGTGGCGTAAATCGGGTCCAATTTCAGATGGTGCAGAGGTGCATATTCTTAACTTATAATTTCTAACCCACAAATTTTACAACTTCCTAAGTAAAATCCTTCCCAATAAACTATATATGTCTATATATTTTCCTTAAATAATTAATACATTTCGAATTATTTTAGCAGTAAAACCTTTATTACCATAATGTTAATGAAAGAAACGATCAAAATTTTTTTTTTTAGTATACCGGTTTCTTTGGTTCTTGAAAACAATATAATAGGTGTACAAATTATATTCTGGTGGTGCAAAAGCGTATCTTTGCAGCACCACATTTTAGATGGTGTAAGCGCGCATGACAGGACACCGAAAACACGGCCGCAAAGGGTAACAAACGACCGACAAACGGAAAACGACGGACCAGGAAATCTAAAAAAAAATCTTCCCCCCCCCTCCTCGGGTCCTGTAGATCCTGCGATCCAGTGGTCCGCGCACCCGTTTACCGTTACACGATCATTTTACTGTTATTATTACGTCGGTCACGGTGTAGTAGATCTTCTTCGTGCCCAACATGCCGGTCTCGGTGACGGCCGACTGATTCATTGCCTTGGCCCATTCCAGCGCTTCCGCGGTCGCCGCCCGTATGCAGTCCACTCTTCCCAGCCGGAAACGTCTGGTGGACGCGCTTTCGTACGTGGCCACCAGTTTGCCATGCAGTCTGTAACGTAAATGCGCGTACCGCCAAAATTAAACGCGACTCGTTGTTGCTACGCTATGGAAATATGTATCGACTTGACGTTGGGTTGTAACGTTCACCGTGGTATTATTTATTTTTTTTCGTCATTCGGTTCCCTCGATTTTTAAAATGTTAAAATGCTGTACATTCGAAAAATCGGATAAAGTCTCGTTATTATTTTTTTCGACCGAAAAATCATTTTCAATCGTTATGATAACGATTGATTATAAGTGTAATACAGTCCTCGCTTATACTCAGTTGTATTTTAATTATAAAATTGAAGGGGCCACATTTTAAACTATAGCCTCGTAAGAAACAATGATAAATTTCTCGAGGAGGCCACCTATCACCCATCTTGTTTTCTCTGTTCATGAATAACGCTAGTCGAAATTTGTCCAACAGTCACATTCTTTGTTTTGCTGACGACATGAAGTTACGTTCCCGGGTCGACTCATTAGATAGCCGTCTTTGTCTTCAGGCTGATCTAGCTAGGTTCTTTACGTGGCTCACTGACTCGGTCATTTTTCTCCATCTCGCTAAATGCAAGGTTATAACTTTCTCCCACCGTCGTTTTCCGCTCATATTTTCTTATAACTTTGATACCTCTATTTTTTCTCGTGTTTGTGAATATGTTATGGATTTTGGTCTTAAGCTAAGTTATATCCTCGATCCCTACTCACATATCATATCGACCGTGTTTATATGAAGGCCTTCAAAATAATTTTCTTTATCATCAGACTGGCAAAAAATTTCCGTTCAATCTAGTCTGCGAAGATATTATTTTTTGCTCTTGCCAGACTCATTCTTAAATATGGCCCCCTAATCTGGAATCCTCAGGCTGCCTGTAATATTCAACAACCTCAACGAGTCCAACGTAAGTTTCTCAAATTCCTTAGCTTCTCTTTCCATATCCATTGCGCTTCTCGTGACTATAATCCTGTTGTTTCCTTATTAGACCTTTCCTCTCCAGCTGACCGTAGGCGCTCTGCTGGAATTAGGATTTTAAATGGACCCCTAAAAGGTAATATTGACTCTTTTGCCCTCCTTAACAATTTCCTTTAAATCTCCCTAACGTAATTCTAAATTGCATGCTTTATTTTACTTACATCTTGCACCTACTTATTATTTAGCCAATGAACCTCTCTCTCGTCTAATGTTTAATGCCAATGTTGACCCTTCTTACACCTTTGGTTAAATTTTCTCTGTATATTTGCATTAGTTTTAATTAATTTTCTTGTAAATTCTATATTAATCTATGTTAAAATGTACACACATAGTATTTTACTAAGGGCAACACCCGTATATACCAATAATAAATAAATAAATACATATTGATCATCACGGAATATTAAAATTAAACGATAATAAATAGATTGGATTGTATTAATATTACAATAACATTGAATTATGAATTCTTTAGTATTATGGGTACGCAAATTGCTAAGTGAATGGAAGATATGCGGGTTAAATATGTATTATTTCCAAGTTTATTAATAATATCTAATAGGTTTTAATAATATCTATTTATTATATCATAACATGATATGAATTTTTTTTCATCAATTTTCTCCACATGACTTTAAAGCATTACTTAATTATACCAACCGATGTTTTGTTTATATGTTAGATATTATTATTATGTGTTTTACTATAAGTATACCTGATCTAAAAATGTACCACGTTAATCTGTAAAGAGATTCTTTGAAAATAAGTTTTTCAAATACAGTTTTTATTTGATTCAAATATGTGTATAGTATTTTATATTTTATTCGATTGATAATTATACATTTAATACAACGTTTTCTAAGTCGATTCATAGTATTGCAATTAGGCCACAGTATCGTGTGCATCATGAAATAGTTATAGTAATTGTAGTGTGGTATACTTACTTATGATAAGCTAGTTGCATTGCGAGTTGTATATAAACATCTGGACTGATCTTAGAAGATTTTATGAATCCCTTTCCATACTGAGTGAACCGGAATACATGAAAGTTCAAATCCTTGACTGACCTATGAATTTTTTATATTAGCATATATATTACTTCATTTAAATTTAAACGCTACTTTTAAAAGTAAACATTTCTATTTTATGTTACGTATTTATAGGTCGTAGGTAAATTAGAATTTTATGAGTAAAACGTAGTGGTTAATTTCATGTTGTCAATAATTATTTAGTAGATATAATATAGAGTTAAACTAAATAAATAGTTTTTTGAACATGGTTTTGAAGGTATTTATTATTTAGAGTATTGACTAAAGCAGCTGATGTACATACTATAGTAATTTGTATTTAGCAGTAATGTGATTTTGAAGCTTTTTATAGTTTTTACACAATGATTTCAATATAATCACATAGGTACAGGTGTCGTTTCTAGTATACATATTAGTTTAGGATAACTCATTGTTTAACAAATAAATAAGTAACGATTTACTATTCAATAAGAAGTTGAAAAGCATAAACAATTTTTTTTTACATTTCTTTTTTAATTCAATAAATTTTGTTTGAAAAAAAAAAAAAGTTAATACGTGTAATTACTATAATATCTTACTTATCTAAAACTGTAGAAGCATCGCCTATGTGTTTTATGAGTTCGTTATTAACACTCCATATGAGTTTTTCCGGTTTTTCTGCTGACGGCGATAAATCCATTGATTTTTCCTCCAAGTCTTTAGTGCTTCTAATCAACTTTTCCATTAACTCGATAACTGCAATACCCTCGGATGGCGAATGCTCATAACACAATCCATTCGCGCCGTCCCTTCCGATTACCAACTGTAAATAGTGTTGACGTGCATAAATATCATTACGATTGTATTATACTATTTCGGTTCACCTGTATAGTCTTGTCAAACCAACGGTTGCCCGAGCAGTATTCACTTCCTCCGCCGTGGATCATTTGATGCATCATGTTTGTCTCATCTCTGTCGTTCGACAGTCTATGACCTTTCGCTCCGACCTTACATACGGAATTGAACTCCGGACCAATCGTTTCCAAGTCAAAGTTTATGAAAAACAAGCACCGTTCGATTAACGCCAAATTATTGCGATTAGAAGCACTTTTCATCAACAACTCCCTGCTGTGAGCCCAGTCGTCTCTCTTTTGCGAAGTCAGAATACCCACGGAATACGTGCGAGCAGTGTTAGCGGTCTTTTTAGCGTCCGTTATAATGTTCAGCAGCTTCGTTGCGATTTGCATTTCGGTGATGGGCGTATCATCTTCGCCCAAAGTCAATCGCAGCACGTAAAACTTTGAATACATTTATTAAGTTTTAATAGACATATTATATTATTTACGACAAAACTACAATTTAGCGTGATGTACAGCGTGGAAAAACCATACCTGCGATTTACATGCAACAATTACGTGTGGTCTCGACAATGTTAGATCTGATTCGACGTCTAATAGTCTGTCCTTAACCAGTCCTGGTTCTCTATATGATTTCATCAGCCTGTAGTACTGTGCCATGCATAGTGGTTGTCCTTTTTCTCTCGATGTAGCCTTCTCTATTGGCAGTTCTCGTCTGTACATAAAAGTGTATAACATAATCCGTACTCCGAACATGTTTTTTTAAAGATTAATTTATTTCTATTCATATTCTGAAGTGCAATGACTAATTAAATTATTTTTCAAATTTTCATATTTCTTAAAATGAACGCATTCATATTTATACGAAAATGGAACATATCAAATAAAAAAAAAAAACTAATTATTTATAATGGATTTTGCATTATGCAAGTATATACTTTTGTATAATATTTTTAGTACTATATATCATGATAATGCATATTATTTATTTATATTCATTTTTAAATTTTAAATTTTCATTCACATATTAATCGTTCTCTATAAATAACAATAAATAATGAATTACTTAAAGTAGGATATATTTTGAGAAATCTTTTCAAACATAACATATAAATATATATAATCGTAAATTAAACAACACTGCTAAGCAATACAATTTTTATTTTATTGAAATTATTATGATACTATGATTTACTTGTCCAATATGCGTTTAAAATTCATCATTTCCACAACAAATCGTGCTGAAAATTTTGCCATCTGTATTTCGGATGACAGATTTGGTAACGGTGGAAATACCATTCCAGGATTCGAATTGATTGGCAATGGTGCTTGATTGCAAAGATACATGTCATGAAGCCACCAATCGTAAACCTGAAAATTATTTTTATAAAATCGATTTAAAAATATGTTACAAGAGAAAAAGAAAAAAATGTCTCAAGAATTCCTTATTATAGTGTCATAAATTTATATTTTGATTGAAATCATTTATTCTAATACGAATAAATTATATAAAAATGACAGTGTAAGAAATCGAATTTCATAAAAAATCTCTAAATGAATTAAATATTTAAATTTTTTCACAATTAAATTTAAGTGGAAATAGTTTATTACATTTTAATACAACTTGATATAAATAGTGACATATCAATGGTATAATAATTTTAGATTTGTTGTAGTTTACATTATTAGGTAACGTGTAGACCAGGAACAAAGGCGCATACCTGTTCATCTATTTACCTTATCATTAAAAAAAATAATATTGTAATCCAAAACTTTTGTGTTTTATTAAAAGTTTATAAAATGAATTATGAATCAAATAATATGTATTGTATGTGATTTTATAATAATAATCATAATAACACATAGTAAATATGTACCGTATTTTTTATAATTGTATACTTTTTATGTATTATGACAAAAAAAAATTAATAATTGATAATATAGGTTTGTTATTTATAATAATTTATGATATGAAGGATATTGTTCAATATTCATTATTGAGGAAACTTTGACAGTTACAATGGTTTTTTTATTTTTAATTACATATTGTGTAATTATATCATGATTAAAAGACTAATTTTTAAAATAATTATCGTTCACATTATTATTGAAAATGACATAGAATGTGATCATAGTCGATATTAGTATTAAAAACATTAGTCTTACTATTGCATTAAGCATATATTTTAAAATATATTGTAAAACATATTTTATTATTTTATTTTAGTTAATTGGGTATTATTGTGAGATGGAAAATTATACCATTATTGAATATTTAAAAATTTTTCAGCGAACGTAATTTTTTTATCGTCAAGATTTATAAGTAATATAATAAAAAATATGAATAAATATATATATACGTGAATATATATTGTATATGTTTAAATTACGTCAGTCTTGACAATTCTGAAGCGGGTTTCAGATAACTATTAAAAACGATTGCTATATAAACATAATAATATCCATTATCGTTATCTTGTACGCAGTGCGATGGAAAGGGTAAATTTATTTCGACGGGTAGGAACGCAGAAGGGTAATTTAACTGTTGTAATTTTTCGAAGACCCGGGGGGGGCCGTTGTATAGGAGCTATATATAGACTCGAGCAAAGGGGGTGTAATTCATTCGGTACCCACCCGGTGGCGGGGCCAACGCTATTCGGTCATTGGCAGTCGCATCGAGACTGCGTGCCTTCAGTGTGGGCGGTACACTATCCTCATACTTCACACATTATATATATGGTCGGGAAAACAAAAAAATAAAAATATATAAAATAAATAATAATAGAAATTAAAAAAGACAATGCCGTTTTTATCGTTACGGTAATACTTATAAAATAAATTGCGAGGTAAGCTTCAGTAATCTTTATTCACGACCAGTCACCGTACAGTGTAAAATGCCATGTGAATTATTCAAAACCAAATCCCGAAAAGTTACGCCCGTGACGCTGTCGCCACAGTCGCGCCAATGTTGCATTTCTCAGTGAGGTTGATCATTTGTTTGGGTTGAAATCGGAGGTTAGAAAAATAAATTTTCCACATTATTGGGGAAGGGGGAAAAAATCTTAACGTACACTTATGATATATATCTAAATAAATAGATCTCGGGATAACCGAAATAAATACATTGCAGATGTAACAGGATCAACTAGCCTTAAATCAAGTTATCCCTACATTTACGTTTGTATGTACGAAGAACTATCGATAAATTATAGTACACAACACTTTCATCGAAGAGCAATAAGAGTGCGTAAAATAATCTCTGTTCTCAATCTATCTGCACTCGACGAGAACGAGGGGAAAATTTGAACCGTGACTTATCTCAATTTAAATAAATGATATACATTTTTTTTTCGAGTCGTAAGGGATTATAATCACAAGGATTATTCTCGATTTTAGAGTGAATTATTTATTCATTAGCAATTTCGAAGAAAAATAATGGGTATAGTATTATTATTTTTTTCACATTTTACCATTGATTATAAATATCTTATTAAGCATTTAATTTTAACTTAGGTATTACCTAAATCTGGAAAAATTGTTTTCCTAAAATTATGTTAAAACGTATATATTTTATGTTACATTCATTATTTTTTATAATTATATACATTTTCGATTATAGACTGGCATCTCGTAGTTTTTGAAGACTACATTTTGAATGCGAAAGATTTATCAACAAAAATCTAATTTTAAATTTGAAATAGAATATTATTGGATAACCTATATGGGTTATAAGGGTGGATCTATAAATTATACAAATAAGTAATTTAAGATGTATATATTCGATATGATCGATAAGATAATATTTTCTATTTCAAAGAACATAATTAATAGTTTTTAAAATGTGTAGGTATCTGTAAGAAAATTATATTCTTAACATTTTTTAACTTATTTTTAGTCAAAGATTAAAATGTAAAAACATTTGTTATCTAGGATGTTTCAAAATATTTTTGTTAGATTTAGAATATAAATGAAATGTGTATTAAACTTTTCTCTATTTTTTCTATAATCAGAAATACAATAGTAAGTAGTGTTAACTATTATTAAATTCTACTCGATACTTATACAGAAAAAAATTATACGTATATACTAATATACGTAATATTTCACTGAATACACTCTTTTCGACACAAATATTAACATTATTTTAGTTCCTATAGTTCTATGTTAAAGCGTTGTTTGATCAGGTAATATGTATATTCATAAAAGTTGTTATACTTATAATAATTGTTTTCATCAATTGGCTAATGTTCTGTCTGGCATCGATGAATGGCCCTTTTTTCAAATAAACAGCTACTTTAACTATTAATGTTTTTGTCAGTGATTTAAAAACGTAAACAAATTATTTACAATTACAGTTGAACTACTTGACTAATTTACATAATAGAATTTAAAAAAAATGTTTTTGGAAATATTTAAAAAATTCGGTATCGGCATTATTTTAATACTCGATAAAAGTAGGTATTAAAAATATGTGGACATAAAAGTTACGAAGCATACATTATTTATGATCCTAAACGCTTTAAAAATAATAATTATAAAATTATAATGACTTTAAAAAATTCAGATGATTATTTGTTCCAATTTTCCAATGGTTATGTACTACGTTCATCGATAAAATAATTATCCGTACATATTTATGTATAAGAGAAGTTTTTGCGGTTCTGATATGATTAATATGGAAATATATAATTTATTACTGGTGTTCGATACAAATATTTATTTATTATATTATAATTATAACATTTTTTATATAATTTATGCAGTATATTTATTTGAATATTATTATTTTTTGAATATGACAACTATAGAGTAAAAATACTACACCGGGTTACAAGAAACACAATTTTTGATATATCGTCACAATTATGTGAACCATTTGTCAGTACGACAATGTAAAGGGTGGTAAAGGGTGTAAAGAAATACGTTATACATGATGATATATGAAAAATAGAAGTGGCCGGTAATACCAGAGAGACGTTCTCATAGCATTTTCCGCATATCATAGAATCGTCCGGTAATCTAGTATCATAGTACGCGATTACACTGTATAAAAATAAATTAAAAAAATATGCGCAGATAAATTCAATAATTAATTATAGTGATATATTATAAAAATTCATAAACGTCATATATTTATAATTATAAATATGATTTGATTGTTCGAGCGTGGGAATCACACCAGGAACTGTAGTCTAACCGATTGGCGTTGGCACATGAATAAAATTCCCGCTTATCTCGTTTTAGAAGGGTCCTTGGCCCGTTGGGAAAACTCGTCATAGAAACAGACTCGTCACGTTTTCTACTAATTGGATTTACTCCCAGAACCGAAAAGTATCCCTCCCCCACCAGTATGCACGTATGAAAACTCAGAGCATTCGCTACTCTATTATTGTTCACGTGAGTTGAATTAATTATTTATACTCTGATATTGTAAAATGGTTTATACCCTTTTCGACAATCAGTTCCTACAAACCCAAATATGTAAAAAATTAAAATTAATTAAAAATCGTGTTTTTGATTTTATTGTTTGAAATTTTTTAAACTTTTACAATTTGAGTTCCATGTAGCCGTGTATTACAGCAGTTTATGCTCAGTAAGTAGGTATCAACCAGCAGAACAAGTACGTACCCAATTGTCATGTTCTTCTCTGCGTTCGATCAATATTTCCTGTAACATCGGACCGGGTCCACTCGTAAAATCCGCAACTAGCTTTCTAACATGTTCGTGTTGTTTTTCATTTAATATTGGTTTCAACGTTTCCAAGTATAATTTCGTAGTGCGTTCCAATAAAGGCACCGGTAGTTTCGGTAATTTTGTCTGAAATACAAAAAAAAAAAAAATAAATAAAAATATTACACGCCGTACTTAAAAAGGCAAAACAAAACTTTGTTCAGATTTCTCGACTTTTAGTTTGATTGTAAATTATGGTCTTTAATGTTATACACATTTTGTGGTTCCTTCGGATGAAGATATTTATCAATAAAGTGTCTATGTTTTATCAACACAATAAATGCATATTGCCATTGCAGAGAAGTTAATGACACTTGTGACTATTGAAATAAAAAAAATATTGATAAGTACATAGTAATAAATTTAAAAAAAACCGTTAAAATTTTAATAATATTAGTAAAATATTGATTACTAGTCTTTTTATAAGGTGATCATATAATGTAGAATGAATTATTTATATTGTAAAGTAACTGCGTTAACATTTTGGACTAATTTGAATGTTATTACATTAGTATTTTATTGTGCGTATGATTTGGATTTGGATTTATTCTGTTTTTCTTTTTCGATACGGTTGAAGAGTAAATTAAGTTTAATTTTCTAGCCACTGTTATTTTTTCTTTTGAATGTTTTCGTTTAATCATAAAACTCCCCAGGGTCGGTTTTCCACCACAGCAGTCTAATAGAAGACACGTGGTGGTGCATCCCACGGTAGCAAACAAAAAGTGCCTTCGTCAAACAAAGAGTCCGTTCCCCAAAATAAATTCCATTAATTTTGATTACAAACACTATAAAGTATACAGGTTCAGGTAGACGTGATGTCATAAATCATCTATTCCCAAATGATAGGTGAGAATGAATTGTGCATTACTCTAATAATAATATTAATCATATTAAATATGACTCATAATTGATTTAGTACATATAGGCAATAAAATAATTTAGTCATTTCATATGTGTATGGTGTACGAGTAAAATTACTCGTATAATCGGTTTTTTGTTTTTGATACATAAATTAAACAATGATAACCCTAGCCATGAAACTTCTAACAGGGATTCATTAAAATCCTAAAATAAAGTGTTTAAGCTTTGCCGACCACATTCCGGTTCAACGTAGATTTTCATAAGTTGAGTTCATATTTTAAGTGATCATGTAATAATACATCATAATTAAGATTTTATAATCTAAAATTGAAATATAGAATATTTTTATTTTATATGATAAAAATCAGTTTTTATAGTCATTGAATTAAATGATAGTGATTTTTATTATACAAATGGTTTATAGTTTAAGTTATTAAGATTTGTCACGTTGTCAGTTTTTTAATCGCACCATATTCATTATTGTATTAAAGTATATAAAAGTTAATATAAATTGTTATTTTTGACTATGATATATTTAATACAGATAATAAATTTTCATTATTTTTTTTCGCGTTCATTTTCAATTAAATTAAATAAATTCAAACTAATAAACCAACCGTTAAGGTAAATAATATATAAAGGAATATGTTTTCAATGATTTATTGTTGTTTTTAAATGTACAGTTCTCCATTGAAGTAGGAAAAACATGACATGTTGCTCTTCAGCAAACATTTGTATACCTCCGTTTACTAAACATATACATATATGTTTCATTTAGATATGATTAGTAACGGCGAAAAATCTAACTAAAATCAAAGTAATTTTATTTTATTATTTGTTTAAACTTTAAATAGGTATTAATAAAAAGTTGTGCTTATTTTCAAAAATATATGAAATTATTATTGAAGTTTGATATTAATTTATAGATAATTATATAGTATTTCCTTTAATATTTTGGACATGTTATAAATATTACGTTGAACTAAATAGAACCGTACACACTATTTCTATTGTGGCTTATTTTAACTAAATATTTATGAATTCAGAGTACCTTTAAAAGTTTTTAGCTACCTACTGGTATTTTTAGCATCAATAGTTTGTGATAGAATAAGAAAAATATAGTGAAGCGAAGTTGAAATGCATTATAAATTAATGTTTTGATGTATATGGGATATTAATATTGTATAATACCTAAATCTATATAATAAGAACGTTGAAGTGTAACTTTAAAAAAAAAAAAAATTAAAAATAAGTATACATTTTAATAATCGTAGTTAAAAAGTAATTTAATATGATTAATAGCGTATTATCATTTCAAAGGTTATTTTAATTTTAAAATCAATTGAAATATTGAATATATGATGGAAACTAAAAACAATTTAATAAGTTTCAAAGCTTTAACTATAGAATTTGTTTCTTAATTATTCACTTATAATGACTATTTTAACTTTTATTTTGCAGAGAAAACCAAACATAACATTTTATTTTTTAAAAGAGTATTTTGTCGGTTTTTAATGTATTAAATTTTACTTAGCATTCAACCCAAACGGCTGCATAATTTACATATACAACTGACTGTGAGCTGTTTAGTTATATTTTATAATCAGAATGTTCTACCATTGTAGGTGCGTACAATCAGACACGTTTTCAAATCGAATCGATCGGACTGAGCACGGTGTTGGTTCGGGTGTGCGTAAAAATTGGCGGTTATATTTTAAAGTGCGAAATTGTGTGGTTCAAAAAACAAACACACAGCGCTGAACGGTGTTATTTTTGTACGCCGAGTGGCGCAGTCAGTAAGGTCCCTGGCAGCCAGGTGAAAATCAATAAGTTGCCCTCGGCACATAGGCCGACACGCAAACGCTGTGGTCGAATTATATGTTACAATAATTCTACCCAGGGTTCCGTTTGAAACGAGGTCACCAACATTCTTGTTTGTACATGCGTTTGAAATTTTGCTGAAAATTCTATCACAAACTTGGTAAATTGCGATAAATTTGTAGAAAATGTATGCATAGAAAATATGTGTATAAATAAATACATAATTTAAAAAAAATTTTGTGCCAGCATACCTACATCTTTTGAAACATTCTCTTACTGATGTTATACTATAATTCCGTCGGTGTTTAGCAATCAACGATCATAACAATGTAGTTCGAATAAATTTCATACATAATATTAATAATACAATTCGTGTATGAATAATTGTTGGTTTTATAACACTTATCACGAGCAATACCATTGTTATGTGCCAGTTATTGTTACAAATGTATTTTAATTGTGGTTTTTAAAATTTAGGCTCTCGTTTGTCAGTTTTAGTCATCGCTCTCAAATTTCACGTTTTTTTGATAAGAAAATAACAATAAATTTATTTAACTATAATAATTTGTAATATTTTAACTTGGGGTATTTTTTTTTTTTTTTCAATATTTTATATAAACTGTATAATATTTCAAAGACCCTATTTTCTTTATTGTTTGATTATTAAAAAAATAATTAGATAAATTATTGCTATTAATAAAAATTAAAAGTACTTTTCTATTAAACTTTGAAGCGGGTAAATTACTTTTATCGCTAGTATTTTCTGATTTGTGTTCAACATTTTTGTTATGCATTAAACATTTTACCAAAAGCTCAATAAGTCGCATCCGACCCACACGTCTTTTTTATACGGTGCGCATTAAATATAAAATTTAGGAAATTTCATTAAATATCATATAAATTTTGTATGTTGTCTGGCCCGCAAAGACAATATGAACATTTTTAACATTACGTACTGTGCTTATTTCATATTTAGTTTTTAAAAGTATAAATTTCTATGTATTTTTTAATAATATAATAGTTATTTTATCTCATTTGTCAATTAATTTAAATATTGTATAATTATTAAATGATAAAGTTTTATACCTATACATTGTATTTCGTGATACTCCGCTTACTTAGTGTAACTTAACTTTTGGGCGCTTATACATAAACAAAAAAATATATAATGATTGGTTTTAAATAATATAATTAGTATTTATGGTATTTTAGGAGATCGTGGGTAGTAAAACAATACAAAATTATTGGTGGTTGACTTCGTTCGAAAAAGGTTAAGAAACACTGGTCTATACATTATAATATAGTCTTGAAAAATTATTTATAATAATGTACACGGATATTACTACACCCGTTTTACGTTATAAACCGTTGCTTTATGCACTTGAAAACGTGAAAAATGACGAAAAGTTTTCAGCTCGTTAAAAACTGCGGACCCTATGCTTCTATTTGTTTTGGTTCGACAATTTTGTTTACTCACTGGAGCGTTATTGTTTGTCCAATTTGTTTTTCTGTTCCTCGTATCCACCCTTCTGATCCAATTAAACGAATAGTTGGACTCGTCAATTAGTGAGTATGGGTTGTACAGTATGCAAGCAGTGTATAGGGATCTCAGAGAATCCCCCGATAACATGGAAATACGACGCGCGTTTTGTTGTTGTTACTTTTGTTTTTGTTAGTGTGTGCGCCTGCGCGCCCGCATGTACTTGTGTTCGAATGATTTTAAAACGTACACGAAGTGATCTGAAGTGAAAAATTATGGCTTTGAGAAGTAGACACATAAAAATATACGATATGATACAACTCAATTGAAAAACGGTGTACGGCTATAATTCTGTATTGCAATTTATTCTCGTTTTTTTTTTTCTATTTCTTTTCATTTTCTGTTTGACTTTATTGATCTAAGCGGGCAAAGAAAATTACTTATTTCTACAATTTTGTATTATAAATATTTGTATTCATTTATCTATGAACGTGCGTGTAGTATAATTACATTAGTACACGTAAGGTATAGGATTATAATATATTTGTACGCGGTGGAGTTGAATAAAATTTGAGTTATGCTTAACGTCGCCGAACGTACACGCAATTTATGAATTCTAAACGAAGCGAGTATAAATTATACTCGCATTATACTGTATAATGTATTGATTATTTTACTCTCGGGCGGTAAAAATACACTAAAACATCTACAAAGTAATTCTTTCGTTTGAAAACATTGTACCGGAGAATTATGGTGGATAGGTAATTTTTCAATTTCCTCGATAGTTTCAAAATATTGAACGTTTATTTTGAAGTTCTACCTACGGTCCCATTGTGCTGATTAAAGTAATGTTGATGATCTATAATTTGTATCCGTTGTAATGATTTTTCGATTATTAAAAGCTGAAAACGATTTTTTGTCCTAG